CACCAAACGTTGTTAGAAAACCTATTAAGGAATGGGGTAATAACCTAAAACTCACGAAAAAACTGAGCTGTGAAAAATTATTTCACAAAAAAGAAAAAATGCCTGACAAAATGGCCAAAAAAAAAAAGAAAACGAGAAAATTTTATTTTTCTAAAACCTTTGGCTCTTGTTTCAGGCATGCTGCTGGTATTAATATGCCTTGTTAACACCCCCATATAGGCTAAATTTCTTAGAACTGAATAAAAAGGGCATAATTTCCTACACCAAAAATGGCCATTTTGTGTGGCGTTGTTCATATTCCCTGATTTCATGATTTATAACCTTCATTCGGCTGTAAAAACACTCCATCTGGGGTGTTATTGTATGATAAATAGCTTGTGAATACTTTAGACTTATTGTTTCATTGAATAAAAGGAGTTTTAAATTTTGGCCATTTTGTGAGGCATATTTTGGCCATTTTGTGAGGCGTATAGCCATTTTAGCATTTTGTTTCTTCCTATATTGAACAATGTTCGTTTTGTTTGATGAATACTATTCTTTAAACATCTTCTGTCATACTGGTGCCAGAAGTTCTCACCAAAATGCAAACTTAGTTCAAAAATTTGAAAACAAATTTTTCAGTGCTCAAAATTTCTACATAAACAGTCATATTTATGCCAGAAAATGTGGTCCTAGTTAATGATTTCACCACAGGAAGTGTTGCCAGAAGACTTTTGTTTCATATGGTATCCACAAAACCTACCAGTCTTATATAAAAAATTAGTTACAAAAACATTTACAAATTTGGCCATTCTGTGAGGCTAGCCATTCTGTGAGGCATTTACCCGTATACCGGAGTTTTATTATAGTCCGGAGTTGGACGTTTTTCTGTACGCTTAGCTTGTCAATCTATAGTGTAGTTACCGTATAATATAAATGCTGTGAACACATTTTTCACTTGCTCGTTGACGAGGGTCACGTGATGGTAGGCGAATTTGTCAAGTTTATACGACTATTGTAATTGTACAATAAAATTTTTATATTTTTGTATCCTTGTATCCGTGACCTCTGACAGGACACCGGTCATCTCGCCCAATTTTCCCGGGAGAATCAGATCTCATGTCAACTAGCGCGTGATCATCCCGGCCTGGGTGGTCCACTTGTAATGTTGTCAAACGGGAACCTCGGCCTCGCACATCTGGTAGTGAAGTACTGATTACAGCTGCAGGTCCTCCAAATTCACGAAGTCCAACAAGTCCTTGTATGAGCCATCAGTGTAAATCACGGTACTTTTCTAATCATAATCGCTTAGCTTGGCATCATTCAATGGACATTTGTTGTTCAAAAGAAGAAAAGTCAAAAATGAGAGTGAACGGTGACTGCTTATTGCATAAGCTCTTAAATCTGCTAACCGTACATAGCTCACGCAGCTGTCTACAGTTGCTGGGCTCGTTCCGGGTCAGAAATTTAAAGTTTACTGCGGCGTGGGGCTACATCGTCGTTCTGCTGTCGTGTACATTTAAGAATGTGGTGTGGAAAGAGTTCTGACTTTTCCTGGAGTAAAGATATATGTCGGCCGTCTTTGTCACGGAGAAGTCTTTAAAGCTTTAAAGCTCTGAGCTTGACCTATTAAAAGACAAAAGATACATTTGCACGTCACGAGTAATGTGACCTACTGAAAAAAAATCGGGCAATTTGAAAATTTAGTCAAGTTCACACATGCACAATCAACCCCTCATTGGTGTGATCCTCTGATCCGGGAAATCGAGATGTCCTGAGGACATTGTCCTCTCACAAACAACAGTTATTAGTAACAAGCATAACACGATTTTCCAATCTATTAACGAAGTTTGAGCATTTAGGGTCAAAGCAGAGACTTGGGTCGATGTGAATCGGCTTAAAAATAACAAATTTGGGGTATCTTTATTTTACATCTTGGTCGAGACCTGTCACCAGCAATATGATTTCATGTTGCCTTATTCAGGCGGGCGAAACTCACGTTACATGCGATCTGATCATCTGACTCTCACGATCGAGATCGGTAGCTTTAACTCACCAGCTCCAACACGGTTTTTTAGACTTTTTTCGGTTTTTCGAGCTGCCCTTCTCCCCTGAGGCCACGATGAAAAACATACAATATATTATATCTTTATTCTTTATATGTTACATGCATTCCCCTGCAGTAGTGAAAAGTAAATTGTTTGTTTTATTTCAGTGTCGACAGCTCAAACTATGGTGGTATCTTATCGCTACAATGCTGCTAACTAGACTCTTGGATGAAGTTAAGTTGTTTTAGTCAGATGATCTACTTTTTGGCGTTTCCTACTGCCCTAGTTATAGTAGTTCAAGGTTTAACTGTAAATATAGTGTTAAGTAAGTTTCAATACTTCCCTGCCACCTTTTCAGACATTGCAGAGATGTGTGACCGCACAATTCTCAAACCGAAGAATCAAAAGGAGTTATTGATTTATCGGTATATAAAGTATGTATGCTTTATCAAACAAAGCCACTAGGTAAGCAAATTCAAATATTTTGACAGTTCATACTGCGGTTATACATTGCAGCCAATGCGCAGCAAACAAGAGCTTGCCACGAGCTTGCCACTGCTATAAGCATTCGTATTCGTAGCTTGTTTGAATCTCAAATTTATTCGAATTATCATAAGTAGCCGGAAGCCCGTCCTGCGGACGGAGTTCTTCAGCACAAAATCGATTCTCAAACATTTTAAATCTACCCTTTCTCATTTCTACTTCTTTTCCTTTCACAATTTTCATGTTTTTTAAAAACTTCTATAAATTCTGATATTTTTATGGAAGGGAGACGGGGTAGACCATGTTTAAACTTATTAGATGTTATTAGAAAAGACTTGACTAGTAGAAATCTTGATATTAGACTTAAGAATTTGACTGATTTCGAAGACCTTAGATTTTTGGCTTTAGATAGGGAGGAATGGAAGAAGTTAGAAGATGGTTGATGTTTTTGTTTTCTTTTTTATGCGTTTTAATATCTATAAGGTGCCTAGGATGCTCTTTTAAAGAGATATTTCGTACTTTGAAAGATTTACTACTACTACTTTAAAAACTTCTTACCCCTATCCATGTCACCTATGATTCATGCATTTCTAGCTTCTCGGACAGTGCTGTCTTTTCCCTCATTGGCAAATCCTGAAAGTTTTATGAAAAATATAGATCAGAGTTATGTTTGTTCTTGATGCACGTCTGCATTTCAGGTATTCGTGACACAGTTTACGTGTGATGACGTGGGCATCTCTCAACACACTTTGCAGCATGAGCGACGGTGCCCTGGCGGGATATCTGGAAATGTAGCCTTGAGCTCAGTTTATTTTTCTCCGTCACCTCACCCGGGGGAGGGGGGGGGGAGCCAATGACTTTGGGTACTTTGGGGACAAGTGCAGAATTTCGCCAGCAATTTAACCTCAAGTCTCCAAGATTTTTAGCCCCCATTGGTACCCAAAAGTCTCCTTTAGAAGTCATTTAATAAAAGATAATATCAAAACTACATAAAACTCGCCAAAACTTTGGGTACTTATGGGGACAAATGGAAAATTTCACCAGCGATTTGACCTTCAGTCCCTATGATTTTCGTCCCCATTGGTGCTCAAAAGTCTCCATCAGTAGTCATTGCCCCCCCCCCCCCCCCCTCATCCTGTGTCGGCTGTATGCAATTCTGATTGTACCACGGTTAAAAAATGCCAGTTAAATGTACCAACTCTCGTTTTATTTATTGTACCGACTCTCGCTCTTCGACCACGCTTTTCGTCTACTTGGCGTAGGGCGCGGTAAGATTTCATGTAATCACGCACTCACGTATCGCGCGCGATGTAGAAATAAGTGCACATGGTCTTGTGGGTTCAAATGACCCCCGTAATCCATGTGGTGGGGCAGGAGGGTCAAGCACTGTTTTTTCTGAAATGAACCTCCTGATCCATGTGGTGGGGCAGGAGGGTCAAGCACTGTTTTTTCTGAAATGAACCTCCTGATCCATGTGGTGGGGCAGGAGGGTCAAGCACTGTTTCTGAAATGAACCTCCTGATCCATGCGGTGGGGCAGGAGGGTCAAGCAATGTTCTTTTCAGGTTGACCCTCCTGCGCCATTATAGTAACTACCCAGTACCCACCTCAGGATATGTAATGTAACTACCCAGTACCCACCTCAGGATATGTAATGTAACTACCCAGTACCCACCTCAGGATATGTAATGTAACTACCCAGTACCCACCTCAGGATATGTAATGTAACTACCCAGTACCCACCTCAGGATATGTAATGTAACTACCCAGTACCCACCTCAGGATATGTAATGTAACTACCCAGTACCCACCTCAGGATATGTAATGTAACTACCCAGTACCCACCTCAGGATATGTAATGTAACTACCCAGTACCCACCTCAGGATATGTAATGTAACTACCCAGTACCCACCTCAGGATATGTAATGTAACTACCCAGTACCCACCTCAGGATATGTAATGTAACTACCCAGTACCCACCTCAGGATATGTAATGTAACTACCCAGTACCCACCTCAGGATATGTAATGTAACTACCCAGTACCCACCTCAGGATATGTAATGTAACTACCCAGTACCCACCTCAGGATATGTAATGTAACTACCCAGTACCCACCTCAGGATATGTAATGTAACTACCCAGTACCCACCTCAGGATATGTAATGTAACTACCCAGTACCCACCTCAGGATATGTAATGTAACTACCCAGTACCCACCTCAGGATATGTAATGTAACTACCCAGTACCCACCTCAGGATATGTAATGTAACTACCCAGTACCCACCTCAGGATATGTAATGTAACTACCCAGTACCCACCTCAGGATATGTAATGTAACTACCCAGTACCCACCTCAGGATATGTAATGTAACTACCCAGTACCCACCTCAGGATATGTAATGTAACTACCCAGTACCCACCTCAGGATATGTAATGTAACTACCCAGTACCCACCTCAGGATATGTAATGTAACTACCCAGTACCTACCTCAGGCTGCAGAACTTTAGCCAGGTAATTGTTACTGAGGATCACATCTAGTCTCCAATCTAGCTCTCTAAATCTAGCTGCCGGCCGGCTGTCTGTCCTGGTGAGCTGGGAACTAGTGTACAGTACTGCTACCAGCTTATCCGTCACCTAAACAGGGCATATTTATAGGGGCCCTAGCTTATCTGTCACCTAAACAGGTCATATTATTTATAGGGGCCTTAGCTTATCCGTCACCTAAACAGGTCATATTATTTATAGGGGCCCATTTCATCATCTGAAGATTAAATTAAGATGAATTTTCCAGTCATTATTATTATTGGATTAACATTGATAACAAGCTATTCTTGATGTGTCAGCAAATAACTGATAAATGGTCACGTGGTTCAAACACAGTCCTCTGATAGGCTAGTTTAGTCACGTGATGTTGACACTGGGATATGATTTAAGTGTAGTATAATTGACGATATAGTAAAGTGAGGTCCGTCCCCGGTATTATTAATTATAGTGTAAGCCTTGTGTCGAATAAAGTGTAAGCTGTTTTAAATTCACAGATATTTGAAGTTAACAGTTTTGTTTTTTACAGTTACTTTACTGTCAGGTAGGTTAGACTAGTTACAAATGTATTCTAACCTGGTCTGGTAGGTTAGACTAGTTACAAATGTAGTCTGACCTGGTCTGGTAGGTTAGACTAGTTACAAATGTAGTCTGACCTGGTCTGGTAGGTTATACTAGTTACAAATGTAGTCTGACCTGGTCTGGTAGGTTAGACTAGTTACAAATGTAGTCTGACCTGGTCAGGTAGGTTAGACTAGTTACAAATGTAGTCTGACCTGGTCTGGTAGGTTATACTAGTTACAAATGTAGTCTGACCTGGTCTGGTAGGTTAGACTAGTTACAAATGTAGGCTGACCTGGTCTGGTAGGTTAGACTAGTTACAAATGTAGTCTGACCTGGTCAGGTAGGTTAGAATAGTTACAAATGCAGTCTGACCTGGTCAGGTAGGTTATACTAGTAACAAATGTAGTCTGACCTGGTCAGGTAGGTTAGACTAGTTACAAATGTAGTCTGACCTGGTCTGGTAGGTTAGACTAGTTACAAATGTAGTCTGACCTGGTCTGGTAGGTTAGACTAGTTACAAATGTAGTCTAACCTGGTCAGGTAGGTTAGACTAGTTACAAATGTAGTCTGACCTGGTCTGGTAGGTTATACTAGTAACAAATTTAGTCTGACCTGGTTAGGTAGGTTAGACTAGTTACTAATGTAGTCTGACCTGGTCAGGTAGGTTAGACTAGTTACAAATGTAGTCTAACCTGGTCAGGTAGGATAGACTAGTTACAAATGTAGTCTGACCTGGTCTGGTAGGTTGATATCCTTTAGACTAGTTACAAATGTAGTTTGTTGCATTTGTTCCATGTGTCGTACTGCTCTCGTTATAATACAGTAGAAACCTCCGAACAAAGTCCTTGCTCGGCTTGCATCCAGTTCAGTGCTAAAATCAGGAACCTGGCCGTGTGCCAAGTAGTTTATAACTGAGTCTGAAGAGCATTGTATGAGAGGAACCAATCCGTTAACATTATTTAAACTAGCAATTCTCGGTTCACAATTTGAAATATTAACTATCAGTCGAATTAATTAAAAAAGCTTTAGTTTTACCAATTGAGGCGGAAAATACGTCCTTTTTCACATTTTTCAGCTGTTTGAGCAAAAGTTTAACTTCTTTAGGGACACGGTGTCCTAGAAATGAAGTTTCTACCGCATATTTACTCATCACACCTAAACAAGATGTTAGTCAACTTGTTATAAGGAATCTATTAGTCAACTAAAGAACTGAAACAAGATAAGGAAGATGGTAAACTACTGGGGGGTAGGGTTGCCATTATCGGTACAAAATTTTTTATCGCGATAATCGATAATTTTTTCAAAATTATCGCGATAATATCGGTTATCGGCGATAAATTTGGCAATATAATTGAAGTAATATTTATATGCACTCTGCATACTTGAATTATGCTCATATGCTATGTTACATCTTGTGCTGATTGCTTTGTTAAAGAATCAGTTGCAATATTGCCCTTTTATTTAACAAGCCCAAATTTCATAGACAAAATATGTTATTGCTTCTAGCAAACAATTAAAAAAAATAAATCAGCACATGCACGACGTATTTCTTTGATAGTGTCAGTTTCCTGCCTGTTAGCTGTGAACAGACTTATCTCCCGTGCAAGGGTATCTGTCCTTGCTACCGTAGTCGAATCGCTGCCCTAATGTAGGTCTGATAATTCTTTTGTCAGCGGGATAGGATTGGAATCTGGTATCTTAAATTGTGGGAGTCGCCTGTGAGTCCTGAGGACCAATCGTCGAACTACATGCGAAGCTCAATCGCTGTTTGTCTCTTTCTGCTTGAACAACCGCTGGTGCAGAGACTTAGAGTTACGTATCAAGGTTGACTTTGTGATAACTCTGTATTCTTGTCCTACATCTTCATCTAGAATACCGGGGTCCGAGTAGAACTTTACCAGCGATACGAAGTGAAGGCCCTTTCTCTTGGCATATCGTGTACGTAGCCTATCTAGAAGGGTTCGAGAAACTGGCGAGTCTATCTCAGATCTCTTCTATCTTGCTGTCAATAAACTAAATAATCACTTCTGCTTGAGCGAGCATGCTGTCTCTTTTACACAAAAACTCAGTTACAATCTTGAACGGTGCGAGAGTCTTGGTAATGTCTTTTATAGCTAACTCAGTCTCTTCTACATCCAGTTTTAGATTGCCTAGCTCCAAGTCATCTAAAATTCCGTGCACTGCATCAGTTATCCGGTCATATCTCTCCAACATACTGCACAGCGAGCTCCAACGGGTTTAGTAGTCTCGTTGCAGTCTGCAAGTTCCTTTTCGTGCTTCAACAAACAACAATAACGAGGTCTGACCATACAACCTCCAAGTACACTGCAAATTATGCTAGCACTGGGTTTTAACTTTACAAACAGAGAAATGGATTCGAAAAATATGTTAAATGTTGGCCATTTTACCCTAATAAAAATTTGTTGATTATCGCGATAATTCTCGAAAATTATCGCGATAATCGATAACGATTTTTGGGAAATTATCGGCCGATAATATCGGTTGGCAACCCTACTGGGGGGGGGGGGGGGGGGGGGGGGCATGTCAACTATTAATCGATTTAGCAAAAAATCTTAAAAGATTTTCGCGATAAGCAAATTCTGTTCGTGGTACAAAAAAGAAAGTACAGTGTTTGAAATAGCACAGTAATAAAATTACTCGTATAAATTTCGTAAAACATCTATCCAACTCTCACACTGAGTTTCATGTCTGATACAGTAACACGTGATCTCAGATACAGTAACACGTGATCTCAGATACAGTAACACGTGATCTTAAATACAGTAACGCATGATCTCAGATACAGTAACACGTGATCTCAGATACAGTAACACGTGATCTCAGATACAGTAACACGTGATCTCAGATACAGTAACACGTGATCTCAGATACAGTAACTCGTGATCTCAGATACAGTAACACGAGATCTCAGATACAGTAACACGTGATCTCAGATACAGTAACACGTGATCTCAGATACAGTAACACGTGATCTCAGATACAGTAACGCGTGATCTCAGATACAGTAACACGTGATCTCAGATACAGTAACAAGTGATCTCAGCTAAGATCATCCCAGTCGTAGAGCGGAGTAGCTTTCTTTACCCTACAGTCAGGGGCCTTCACGAACATATCTCTCTCTTCTCCTGAATACTCGGTCAGGGATTTAAACACGTTATCAGGCCCTTCCATCACCTGAAACAAGCAACCAGTCAGAGCTAAGTATTTACATCACCTGAAACAAGCAACCAATCAGAGTTAAGTATTTACAACACGTTACTCAAACACCCCTCTCGTATTACTTCGTAAGTTTTAATATAACTCCACTTTTTGAGAGCAACTGACAGCATATAATAGTCGGTACGATTATAAACTATTTCCATTGGTTATAACACCAGAAGCGTGGAGTTATATGCGAATCTAATTGCATGTATATTGTACAGGGATACACCCTACACCCCTGATATTGTATAATACAATTACACCAGTCATCGCACTCGGCTTCTCCTTGTGCGATTAACAGAGTAATCGCATTATACGCAGTTAGAATAGTGTATTATATTATTATGCGCAGTTAGAATAGTGTATTATATTATTATACGCAGTTAGATTAGTGTATTATATTATTATACGCAGTTAGAATAGTGTATTATATTATTATACGCAGTTAGAATAGTATTATATTATTATACGCAGTTAGAATAGTGTATTATATTATTATACGCAGTTAGAATAGTGTATTATACGCAGTTAGAATAGTGTATTATATTATTATACGCAGTTAGAATAGTGTATTATATTATTATACGCAGTTAGAATAGTATTATATTATTATACGCAGTTAGAATAGTGTATTATATTATTATACGCAGTTAGAATAGTGTATTATATTATTATACGCAGTTAGAATAGTGTATTATATTATTATACGCAGTTAGAATAGTATTATATTATTATACGCAGTTAGAATAGTGTATTATATTATTATACGCAGTTAGAATAGTGTATTATATTATTATACGCAGTTAGAATAGTGTATTATATTATTATACGCAGTTAGAATAGTATTATATTATTATACGCAGTTAGAATAGTGTATTATATTATTATACGCAGTTAGAATAGTATTATATTATTATACGCAGTTAGAATAGTGTATTATATTATTATACGCAGTTAGAATAGTGTATTATATTATTATACGCAGTTAGAATAGTGTATTATATTATTATACGCAGTTAGAATAGTATTATATTATTATACGCAGTTAGAATAGTGTATTATATTATTATACGCAGTTAGAATAGTGTATTATACGCAGTTAGAATAGTGTATTATATTATTATACGCAGTTAGAATAGTGTATTATATTATTATACGCAGTTAGAATAGTGTTATATTATTATACGCAGTTAGAATAGTGTATTATATTATTATACGCAGTTAGAATAGTGTATTATACGCAGTTAGAATAGTGTATTATATTATTATACGCAGTTAGAATAGTGTATTATATTATTATACGCAGTTAGAATAGTATTATATTATTATACGCAGTTAGAATAGTGTATTATATTATTATACGCAGTTAGAATAGTGTATTATATTATTATACGCAGTTAGAATAGTGTATTATATTATTATACGCAGTTAGAATAGTATTATATTATTATACGCAGTTAGAATAGTGTATTATATTATTATACGCAGTTAGAATAGTGTATTATATTATTATACGCAGTTAGAATAGTGTATTATATTATTATACGCAGTTAGAATAGTGTATTATATTATTATACGCAGTTAGAATAGTGTATTATATTATTATACGCAGTTAGAATAGTGTATTATATTATTATACGCAGTTAGAATAGTGTTTTATATTATCATACGCAGTTAGAATAGTGTTTTATATTATTATACGGAGTTAGATTAGTGTATTATACGCAGTTAGAATAGTGTTTTATACGCAGTTAGAATAGTGTATTATACTCAGTTAGAATAGTGTATTATATTATTATACACAGTTAGAATAGTGTTTTATATTATTATACGCAGTTAGAATAGTGTTTTATATTATTATACGGAGTTAGAATAGTGTATTATATTATTATACGCATTTAGAATAGTGTATTATATTATCATACGCAGTTAGAATAGTGTATTATACGCAGTTAGAATAGTGTTTTATATTATTATACGGAGTTAGATTAGTGTATTATACGCAGTTAGATTAGTGTTTTATACGCAGTTAGAATAGTGTATTATACGCAGTTAGATTAGTGTATTATACGCAGTTAGATTAGTGTATTATACGCAGTTAGATTAGTGTTTTATACGCAGTTAGAATAGTGTATTATACGCAGTTAGATTAGTGTATTATACGCAGTTAGATTAGTGTATTATACGCAGTTAGATTAGTGTTTTATACGCAGTTACAATAGTGTATTATACGCAGTTAGATTAGTGTATTATACGCAGTTAGATTAGTGTATTATATTATTATACGCAGTTAGAATAGTGTATTATATTATTATACGCAGTTAGAATAGTGTTTTATATTATTATACGCAGTTAGAATAGTGTATTATATTATTATACGCAGTTAGAATAGTGTATTATATTATTATACGCAGTTAGAATAGTGTTTTATATTAATATACGTAGTTAGAATAGTGTATTATATTATTATACGCAGTTAGAATAGTGTTTTATATTAATATACGTAGTTAGAATAGTGTATTATATTATTATACGCAGTTAGAATAGTGTTTTATATTATTATACGCAGTTAGAATAGTGTATTATATTATCATACGCAGTTAGAATAGTGTATTATATTATTATACGCAGTTAGAATAGTGTTTTATATTAATATACGTAGTTAGAATAGTGTATTATATTATTATACGCTGTTAGAATAGTGTATTATATTATTATACGCTGTTAGATTAGTGTATTAAACGCAGTTAGAATAGTATATTATATTATTATACGCAGTTAGAATAGTGTATTATATTATTATACGCAGTTAGAATAGTGTATTATATTATTATACGCAGTTAGAATAGTGTATTATATTATTATACGCAGTTAGAATAGTGTTTAATATTATTATACGCAGTTAGAATAGTGTTTTATATTATTATACGCAGTTAGAATAGTGTTTTATATTATTATACGCAGTTAGATTAGTGTATTATATTATTATACGCAGTTTGAATAGTGTATTATATTATTATACGCAGTTAGAATAGTGTATTATATTATTATACGCAGTTAGAATAGTGTATTATACGCAGTTAGAATAGTATATTATATTATTATACGCAGTTAGAATAGTGTATTATATTATTATACGCAGTTAGAATAGTGTATTATATTATTATACGCAGTTAGAATAGTGTATTATACGCAGTTAGAATAGTATATTATATTATTATACGCAGTTAGAATAGTGTATTATATTATTATACGCAGTTAGAATAGTGTTTTATATTATTATACGCAGTTAGATTAGTGTATTATATTATTATACGCAGTTTGAATAGTGTATTATATTATAATACGCAGTTAGAATAGTGTATTATACGCAGTTAGAATAGTATATTATATTATTATACGCAGTTAGAATAGTGTATTATATTATTATACGCAGTTAGAATAGTGTATTATACGCAGTTAGAATAGTATATTATATTATTATACGCAGTTAGAATAGTGTATTATATTATTATACGCAGTTAGAATAGTGTATTATATTATTATACGCAGTTAGAATAGTGTATTATACGCAGTTAGAATAGTATATCATATTATTATACGCAGTTAGAATAGTGTATTATATTATTATACGCAGTTAGAATAGTGTATTATACGCAGTTAGAATAGTGTATTATACGCAGTTAGAATAGTATATTATATTATTATACGCAGTTAGAATAGTGTATTATATTATTATACGCAGTTAGAATAGTGTATTATACGCAGTTAGAATAGTGTATTATATTATTATACGCAGTTAGAATAGTGTATTATATTATTATACGCAGTTAGAATAGTGTATTATACGCAGTTAGAATAGTATATTATATTATTATACGCAGTTAGAATAGTGTATTATATTATTATACGCAGTTAGAATAGTGTTTTATACGCATTTAGAATAGTGTATTATACGCAGTTAGATTAGTGTATTATACGCAGTTAGATTAGTGTATTATACGCAGTTAGATTAGTGTATTATATTATTACACGCAGTTAGAATAGTGTTTTATATTATTATACGCAGTTAGAATAGTATTATATTATTATACGCAGTTAGAATAGTGTATTATATTATGATACGCAGTTAGAATAGTGTATTATACGCAGTTAGAATAGTGTATTATATTATTATACGCAGTGAGAATAGTGTTTTATATTATTATACGCAGTTAGAATAGTGTTTTATATTATTATACGGAGTTAGAATAGTGTATTATATTATTATACGCTGTTAGAATAGTGTATTATACGCAGTTAGAATAGTGTATTATATTATTATACGCAGTTAGAATAGTGTATTATATTATCATACGCAGTTAGAATAGTGTATTATATTATTATACGCAGTTAGAATAGTGTATTATATTATTATACGCAGTTAGAATAGTGTATTATATTATTATACGCAGTTAGAATAGTGTTTTATATTATTATACGCAGTTAGAATAGTGTATTATACGCAGTTAGATTAGTGTTTTATACGCAGTTAGAATAGTGTATTATATTATTATACGCAGTTAGAATAGTGTATTATATTATTATACGCAGTTAGAATAGTGTTTTATACGCAGTTAGAATAGTGTATTATATTATTATACGCAGTTAGAATAGTGTTTTATATTATTATACGCAGTTAGAATAGTGTATTATATTATTATACGCAGTTAGAATAGTATTATATTATTATACGCAGTTAGAATAGTGTATTATATTATTATACGCAGTTAGAATAGTGTATTATATTATTATACGCAGTTAGAATAGTGTATTATACGCAGTTAGAATAGTGTATTATATTATTATACGCAGTTAGAATAGTGTATTATACGCAGTTAGAATAGTGTATTATACGCAGTTAGAATAGTATTATATTATTATAAGCAGTTAGAATAGTGTTTTATATTATTATACGCAGTTAGAATAGTGTA